GTACAAAAGCAGTTGATTCAAATTATATTGATGAGTATGAGAATGAAGAAGTACTAATTAAGCATGAATTGACACATAATACGTGAAAATTTGAGGATTTATTGAATCTTTATAAAAAAGATCCCTGTCTGATCAAACAATGAAATAAAAAACCAATCAAAGTGGTTACTAAATATAATATATTCACATTACAAGATCCTTTTGATGATATTTTTAGCTTTAGAAAACGTGTATTCGATGATAGGAATATTAGAAGTCCTCAAAAAAGAATTGGTTTACATTAAAGATTTTTAAAATATGAAGATTATACACATGGTTACATGATTCAATTATTAGGGTGATACCAATCAGGGAAAGTTGATTATCATATTTCTTGGCTTGAACCTGATAAACCAGGTAATCTTTTAGATTTTATCAATGGAAGATTTGATATGAAATTTGTAGAAGGTTTAGATTTAGAAAAGGCAAAACTATATATTTATAATGATGATTTTGGTAATTTATATGAGAATAATGGTATTATTTACTTGAAGCGCAAAATTGATATAAATATTGTATTAGGTGTGTGATTGGTGATGTTGATTTAGGCAATCAAAATTTTAGTGTATACAATAGATATTGGCAATCGGAATTACCCAATTCTATAGTAATTTTGAAAAATCTAGATTCATTAAACCAAAAATTATGTGAAAAAATCATTCAACAATTTAATTTAGAAGTGGAAATTTCTAAAAAAAGAACTACAGAAGATCCACAAATAGAATCTTCTACTAAAAAGATTTGAATAGAAATTAATTAGTTTATAACACCAATCAAATTGTATTACTTTATTTAGTATAATTAAATAAAATGTAAAAGATTTAAATAAACTAAATTTTGACATTTATTTCTAAATGTCTAAACAACAATTTTCTTTTATACACGAAACCGGTATAAATTCTTATCCATATTCTAAAAAAATGAAACGATTTATTGAACAAGATGTTCATGAACAAGAAATTAAAAAACTCAAACTCGAATTTGAAAATACTTATCAACAAATCAAGAAAGAAGCTATCAAAGTTATTAATAAAATGAAAAAAGAAATTAAGGAGAAAGATAAGATTATTGATGAATTGGTTGAACGTATGGCCTACTACTCTATCTTTTTTGGTAGAGGATTTGAATTTGCTTAGAATTAATATGAGCAAGAAAAACTATTCAACCAAGTTTATATGGCCATAAATGATTTTACTAGTGAAACTTATAATTTTGTTGAATCAAAAGAAGAATTGGTAGAGAATACTATACAAGAAGAGAAAGAAATTAATGTAGAGAAATTAGATGAAAATAATAATAAAGAAACAATTGAAAATGAAGAACCAAAAGATCTTTCAAAATATAATTATGTTTATCATGAAACATTTGGTGAAAAATCTGAAAATGAATTATATTATTAATCTGATAATAGAAGTTGGGAATATGATTCTAATGATGAATGAGATTGGAATGAAAATGAATTTAGTTATGAATATTATGATTAATTTTATTTAATAAAATATTATATTTATGAAGCTAATTATATAAAATGGTGGCTTATGCTTTTTTATTTTTTTATTTTATTTATTGATATATTACTAAATGTATAAAAAATATTTTAACTAATAAATAAAAATAAATTATAAATAAAAATTTTTTTTTATATTTCTATAACTCTTACATTATTATTATCTTTTTGAACTGAAAACTTAGTTCCTTCAATAAATTTTAAATAAATATTCGAATTTGAATTTAGAAATTTCTTTATTAGAATTAAGAATGTTGTTGCCTAATTCGTAATTTTACAAATTTGGTTAAAAGTAATTTATCAATT